CTACTAGAATTCTTATTTTTACCAGAATAATTATATTAATCAGAATTCTAGTTATCTCAACTAGAATTCTAATAGACGTAACCAGAAAATTCTGATTCATCCATTTTCCACCAGAGTTACTGTTTAATCCAATCAGACTATTTTTCTCAGTGTATCATTACATGTACCAGAAGTATTTGTTCGAAAGAAGAATTACGACTAATCTTTGATATCCATATATATATATATATTTAGATAATTTTTAAAAAAGTCTCTTAACTCTTTCGTATCTCTGGCTTTTCGAGAGAAACGTGTTTTATATGGGGAAGGTTTTATAGGTTTTTGAGGGTACTGATTTCAAATTGAAAAGAAACCATCAACATTTAATTTAAAAATGGTGGATTCAAGATGATGGCCATGGAAAGCTGAAATATCTTATATTTAACATATGACTGTAGATTATTAAGATTCATTCCTGATTACTAATTACGAATCAAAAGTTAAATTCAAAATAGCGGATTTAAAATGACTACGAAAAACTGTAACATCGATGATATATTTAAAATATATTTATTTAAAATATATGATGTGAGCTCTCTCTCTCTCTCTCTCTCTCTCTCTCTCTCTCGAATATTTTTTTCTGCATACAAATTGTAAATCGAATGTAAAAATTTTGAATCAATATAACACATCTCAAAGAGCTATTACAAACAGGGCTCACAGTTTTCAGATGAGCAATATAAATAGTATAAGTGGTAAAAGAAAATGGTCTAACGAGAGAGGATTGCGGTGCTCGACGACAAGAAAAATTGCCGGTAAAATGTATACATATATATAACTATATTTGATTAAAAATAGTGCATTTCAAAGTGTGCGATTCTTTTTACATATAGCTTGAACCTTTCTCTTTAATACAAGGTAGGATAGAAATCGATAAGAATATTTGTTTAAAAATTATAACTTTTTTCATAAATGGAACATATATGTCCTAGAGGTACGAAAGAATCAAATTATTTTATATAAAATATCACGTAAATGGTTTTAAAATATTTGCTCTTATTATTATGTCTACTATTAAATAACTATTATTATTAAATAACATAAAAATAAGAAAAGAAAGTTACTTCCAGCTACAAAAAAATAATTTAAAAATTCTGCAAATTACCTAGTAATATTAAAGACATAGGTACATGAAAACTTAAAAATATTTATATAAGCTTTTAAAAATTGCAAAGCATACATTCAAAACTCATTTAAACAGATATTTTCGACAGCATATTACTTACTATTTGGGTCGTGTATCCAACGTTTCTTGTCTCCAACTTTCATTATGCGGGGATCATCCTGAAAATAAGAAAGTTGACATGTTAGGAAAGATTAATTTTATATTCACTTTATACAGCGAAACCTTATTTTAGGATATAACGGGGCATATAAGCATATAGACTCGTTATATAGACTCGTTGAAGGCCATTATTTTCACATCGTCACGGAATCAAGGGTAAGTGGCGTTTTGCGCCAAAATGCAGTTCGATTGATTCGGTATAAGGAAAGCTGTCGGTACGTATACGTCGTAAGCACGTGAACGGAGAATATGACGAACGATCGCTCGTCACGTGCACGAAATTCAGGGTTGCCTGGTAAAATAAGAACGCGTAATCTGTATTCTCGAAGTTCAGACCGAGGTCAAAGATTAAAAGAGAACGGGGTTCGAAGGGGCATGTTGGGACTAGAAGGGGAACGAGCTTGCGGAGAGAGCTCGCGTGATAGTTCACGTGCCAGTTTGCAATACATACACATACAAAATTTGCAGATAATATCTAAAATACCAATGGGAAAATACATGAAATGTAGGTTGCTGACCACATTTTAAACACCGACCGTAAGTTACTGAAGTTACATAAAATGACGCAGTCAAATCAAAAGAAAAATACATCTATCGAAGTATTAAACGCTTAAATTTTGTAAAATTACGATATTTTCATCAATCGATATTGGCACTGTAAATCGATTGTAGCATCATGCAGCAATCATCAGATGCATCGAATTATTAAAGACTCAGAATAAATAAATAAATATATGTAAGTGTGTATGTATATAAAATTTATATATTTATATAAAACATATGTATATAAAAAATTTATGTATTCATATACATACACAAATTTATAAGAGAAACGCGTATATCTCACAAGATACATTAAATTATATAGGGGAGAGTTGGCTAAGTCGCGTACCGATGGTTAAATCGTACCTAAATTTATTTTCTAAACGAAACATTTTTTTTTAAAGATAACACTGATGTGACGTTGGTAATATGGGTTAAGAACTATCATTTTGTTTTGTCTTCGAGTCGTCTGTTTACGAGTGACATTCAAAATTGATTTTTGTTCGGTGTCTGATCTAAGTTTTGATACAATTTACCTAAGGTGTTATCAGTACAAGGTGAGCAGTACAAATTGAATTATAGTGTCCTTCATAATTACAATTGATATTTAAACTTTTTTCGAGTATAGCATCAAATTAGCAAAATATTTGTAAGTTATGTTGCTATTAATAAATTTGTAAAAATAGAGGGAGTTGGGTAAATCGTACTGGTCTTTATATTGTACCGGTACAATATTCGCAAGTGAGCAATATGTGGAGATTACTATTATGATAAAAAAGAACCTATACAGTGGACTGGATTCAGTGTGTCAGATGCTCTAAGTGGTTGCAAACCTGTAGTGACAATCCTGACATTTGCCAAAATTGTTTAAATAAGCGCTCAAGAAATTTATTATTTATCAACTATCGAGTCTTTCTATTAAATTTCTCTATTGAGTCTTTTTCTATTGAATCTTTTTATTAAATCTTTTCTATTGTGACGGAAAAATCCGTAATTGATTTTATTTCTAAAATTTATTTTGTTAAAATATCTGAGATTTTAATATTCTGAAATGTAGTGCAATGATAGTTTAAATTAATTTAAGTATTGCTTTTTACTTTGTTTTCTTAAATGAGTTTAAAAAACACAGAGTCTAATTTCTGTTTTTATAATAGAAAAGTTTTTATTATACCTACTTAAATATGTACACTCAGTTTGAAATTAAAAATAAATTTATTAATAAATGAGTTCTAAAATTAATTTTGTACATTTTCCCAGTAAACAAACTGACGTTATCTACCGTCATTTTGACGTTAAAGATGTTATTTTAACGTCAAAATGATAATAAGCAATGTCAGCTTGTTTGCTATATTAGAAGTACGATTTAGGAACCAGATGGTACAATTTAACGACCCGGTCTCCACATCGTACTGAAAACTATTTTTTTTTAAATCTAATTTAAACAATAATGTAATATTTATTTTCGCAAAAGTATCGTTTTGTTTTATTGCCAATGAACTAAAGTTTAATATAAGTACAGAAATATTCTGATATCTTCAGTACTTTTGTTTACGATTTTGTTTAAACGTTAGGGGGTACGATATAGGCGACTTCCCCCTACGAGTATTTTGTGTGTTAATTAATTATATGTATGTCACATCCTAAAATTTAAATTATAAATTGTTTAAAAGCACTTTTACAATTTGTTTAAACAAAATATGTATAAGATCAAAATAGAGAAGTACAAGATACATCGTAATTGTATTCTGCACTGTTACTGATATCAAAAGAGCAAAAAGGTGCAACTCAATCTCTTGAGTTAAATAACATTTTGTTAATTTTAACTTCCATATGTGTAAAAATGTAAATCAATCCATTTCTGTAGTTAGTTTCAAACTAAACAATGTCCGTATTAACGTATGCACATAGTAAATAATAACTAAATTTTAATCAAATTTAATATATTTCTTGAGTTAGGTTGTTTAACTTCATTAATTTAGTTAAATTAAGGACATATATATATGTATATATATATATATACATATATATTATAGTGCATAGGAACAATGGTGACTTATAAAAATAGTTAAAAATAACTCTTGGTATTCATAATTTCACATATAAATTTAACAGATTGTAATAAATTCTGTCTATAGTTCTGTTATTTGATACAACACATTTTATTGTAATAAATTTCTTTTCGTCATTATTCATGATATTAATTTATGCATTAATTAACATGCATTTTATAATTTTTCATCATTCTTTTTTTTAATTTAGCGTTCTTATTATTCTTGCATTGCAAACCGTCCAGCGAAACACTGAAATACGTAGTAACTTTATATTTTTATGCTGTTATTGTTATGTATATAGAGAAAAGGCCCCTATTTTATGAGATACCGAGTTCATTTTGAGTAAATGCTAGAAGTCTATTAGGCAGAATTTAAAAAAATAATATGTCATTTTGAAGGGAATTTAATAAACTTTAAGATAACGTTACATAAAATTTAATTCAAATTCCATTTTTTTTTTAAATTAAAGAAATGTAAAAAATGAGCAAATCGCAAAGTTAAAAAATTGTGCTCCTAATATGAGATGCCCGGAAAAATCGATAGTAAAACGCAAAGTATATCAGTATTGCAATTAAAAAATTTTATTTAATGTTTCTAAAATACAAACACAACCAGCGTGCGCGAAAAATGAGCATGCAATAGGTTATACCCAGAACTCGTTTTCAGGGAGTTGGAATCAAGCATCGCAGATATAGACACTCGAAGTTCATTCCGGTTGTCTTGTTTATTATTGTACATATAACATTTATACTTTACCAACGATTTTCACTATAATATAGGAGCATGGGTTATTTCATATTAGGAATACCCTGGGTATCTTATATTACGATTTCCACGCCTTATAATTTTAAGATCATCAAATCTGACTTCTGTAATTAAACAATTCAACATATCCCATATCTTTCTATTAGTACGACCTTACTCTATCACTACATGAAGAATTTGTTGCCAAATATTTATTGATTAAATAATAAACAAGGTTTAAATGATCATCTCAATGAAACTTGAAGACATCCAAATTCTAAAATCTTGTGTTACATCACAGGCATGATCTAATAATGAATTTTCTATTAAATAGTTTTCCATTCAAGAGCAATAAATTCATGGTGGAACCAATAGATAGCGTTTATTAGTTTAGCAGAAACGTCGCTATCTCATATTAGGCGCCTATCTCATGATAGGGGACTTTTCTCTAGATATTAAGTGTTAAACTTAATTCCTGCCGTTTTTCGTCTCTAAAATTGATTTGTTTCGGAGGGAAATACCTTAATCAAAGTATTATTAATAAAGTATTATTAATTAGTAATAAAGTAGAAAATAGAGGAAATTACTTTGATTAAGGCATTCGTTCATCTTCCCTTCGAAACAAATCAATTTTGGAGACGAAAAACGGCAGAAATTAAGTTTAACACCTAATATAAAAGATTATAATATACTGCATTCTTTCTAAGAAACATTTTTCTATTTATATTTTTTATATGTGTCGACAAAGGACTGACCGTAAGAAGAGCACATAGAAAATATATTACGCATTACATAAATATATATTTTAATTTATACCAATTCTTTTAATCCTTTGCGAGGTAGATTAATTTTTTTTAATGCATCTTACATGTAATATACGTACAGTGAATGCAAAAAGTATTCGTACAGAGAAAATATTTTTTTAAAAACTTTATTTTTAAAAAGTAAATATTATCCAACGAGAAATGAATTATCGAATTGATGTCGAATCGATATCGATACGATGATTTCAACACCAATTCGACGTCGATTCGACGTTTAGTTGACGATCTCATTTCTTGCTGAGTAATTAACAATTTATTCATAAAGAGTAAAATAGACGGTATGTTCCTTAAAATTATATTGTTACTTTTGGAACAGACATTTTTCTCAGTGTATTAATTATAGAAAATATATCATCTGAAAAATAAGCGAAAATTAAAAATTCTATTATTAATAATAGATATTATTAATATAATAAATTAAAATTCTATTATTTGGATGCTCAAAAAGTATTCGTATAGTCGAAAAATTTAGCTTCTAAAATCAGGAATACATGCGAAGCTCATTTATTTATGTTAGAACAGAATATATTCATTGTATAAAATTGCTAATTAATGTTTATTTTTTACAAATAACACTTTTTACAGAAAATTTTCTTGTACGAATACTTTTTGCTCTCACTGTATGTACGCATGCAATCTCTCTCTCTCTCTCTCTCTCTCTCTCTCTCTTTCTCGTGTAATTTATATATTTTATAATAAACAAATGAAAAAATGTTCACGATTTAAAATTGCTGCCTTTGAAGGATCAAAGTGGGAGGTAATTTTCAAGATAAATTTTCGACGAGAAACAAATTTTTTTACACGCGTAACAAAGATAAATTATAAAAGTTCGAATCA